TTGTAAATAAAATTATACAAACGAAATAATTTCCTTGTAAAATTGTACAGAACTGCAACAAAGCTACCAAGTGCACAATGCTTCCAAATTGAAAATTAGAAGGCCAATCAGAGGAGATGTTCTTTAACTCTTTTGCGCAAATTGTCCAATCAGAAGCTGCTATCTATTTGCAGAATTAGTCAAAATAGTCAAAATTTCGCAATCGTTAGTCAAAATAGGTCTGACCAATCAACATGCCTGTAATGTGTAATCTGAGCAAATTTGACCAATCAAATCATATGAACTAAAACGCAGAATAGTCAATTTTCATTTGAATACCGCTTATTTGACTTATCGTTTGACTCTTTGACTAATCAATCGCTGGCTCAATGTGCAAAAACTGATCGAAGTTTATATGCTGGAGTATGATAGAATTTTGATTGCGTGATCAGAAATGAAGAGAAGTGTTTGCGCTGGGAAAAAATTCAAAAACCTTAGTCCAAATTTTTTTATATGCCTTTTTTTTACGTTAGTCGCGTGACTAATCTGACTACCCCTAGATCCGCCCCTGTACTGTAGCAATGTTTCTAACTGTTTGAAAACTGGCGTTTTTTTTCTACCGCAGAATGCGTACTTTCGTTTTTAGCATATAATTTCCGGTGGGGGACCCGCTTAATACTGGCCTTACTGAACCGCTACTTTGTTAAACAATATTGTTCGTGCTTTCCTCTATTTTTCCTGTATAGTTCATGCCATTTCGTCTTTGACTGTTTTACACTATTAGACTACTTTCGTTGGTTGAAAGTTGAATCTTTCAAGTTAATATCAGCGGCAACTGAACTTTTTTTGAAGCAAATGTACATTGTACACTAGCGCTGATAAACCTGCATCTAAATCGGTTATAGACAATACATTTCTAATGGTTTGAATAATGCAAATCATTAAAAATTTGCACAGCGTTAATGATAGCTTTGCCATGGCAATTGATAAAACTAGAATAGTGAAGCGAATGGTAGTGATGGGCAATACCGAGTACTCGGTATTCGATACCAGCGATACCACAAACAGCGGTATCGGTATCGATTACTGACGTGGTATCGTTCGATACTTGCACCCTTTTTTAAATGACTTGTTTAATTTCACTTCTTGGTCCCCTGATCGCAGGTTAGGTTGAATAAGACTTAATGAACCACTACAATAAGTCTTAATATTCCAAATGTGGTGCGCCAAATCATGTATAAGTATAGAAAATATTTATTACGTTTCAGGCCAGAGCTTTTGGTTTACATATAGCTTTATTTAGGTTACATACAGTGATGTAAAATATTTTTCCGCTGACCGACAGGTATCGAAAGTAGCCGATACTAGCAATTTAAGTACTCATTTCCGGTATCGAAAATTGAAATTTTGTGTTCATTTTGGTATCGAAATAGGTATCGGTATCGGCCGATACCGATCTTAAAAGTATCGGTATCGGTATCGAATTAAAAATCCTGGTATCGCCCATCACTAGCGAATAGTGCGAATAGTCGACGAATAGTACGAATAGTCCGCGAATAGTCGACGAATAGTACGAATAGTCCGCGAATAGTCGACGAATAGTCCGCGAATAGTCGATGAATAGTACGAATAGTCCGCGAATAGTCGACGAATAGTCCGCGAATAGTACGAATAGTATGAATAGTGCAATAGAGACTTTGCAAGGCTTTCCAGCAGTGCTGTAGAACTAAATTTACCGGGGGGGGGATTGGCTCTATTGACAAACATGAAATCGTGAAAACATTCGTTGACGTACGTCAATGACGTCATACGTAACCGGTAAAAATTACGGGAACCACTGAGTATTTTAATAAAATATAAAACAAAGGTAACTTCGAAAATAAACATTTTAATATTGTAGCTTTCGACTAAAATTCAGTCATCGTCTCAGGAAACATATTTCATATTTTTTTAATTTATAATCATTCCTGATGGTAAGTGGTAACCATATGAGTCATGAATTTTACTGATGGAGTTTTATAGGAATTTTACTTGTAAGTTGTGACGTTGTAACTGAAGATTTAAGGGCTTAAGTGATTTCGTGTGCTTGCCGGAAAACGTGATTTACATCACGAAACAAGAGAAGGTATCGATTTATTATTTAAGCCCGTTTTTGGACGAATTTGTTCGCGCGAAGCGAAAAAGTTGGATCAGTTCCTACTCTTTTACTTGTCGCTTCGCGCGAACAAATTCGCCCAGTGGAAAACGTCATTCTAGTGATTGTCATTCTACTTCCTGTTAAATATTTGTTAAAACTCAGTGGTTCCCGTAATTTTTACCGATTACGTATGACGTCATTGACATCAACGAATGTTTTCACGATTTCATGTTTGTCAATAGAGCCCCCACCCCCGCCCCGCTTCGGTAAATTTAGTTCTACAGCACGGTGGAAAGCCTTGCAAAGTTTCTATCGCACTATTCGTCGACTATTCGCGGACTATTCGTACTGTTCGTCGACTATTCGCAGACTATTCGTACTATTCGTCGACTATTCGCGGACTATTCGCACTATTCATAGACTATTCGCGGACTATTCGTACTATTCGTCGACTATTCGTACTATTCGTCGACTATTCGCACTATTCGCTTCACTATTCTAGTTTTATCAATTGCCGTTGTTGATTGGCTACCTGTAAACAGGGCATTTTTTAAGAATTCGTCAGTGGGGGGGCCATCTACAAAAAGGGACCATACTATACCGAGTGTGGAGCAATGATAGATCGTTTGTTGGTAACAAAAAGTTTGGTGTCGTATCGCATTTAATAGTAGGGGGGGGGGGAGAGCAGGGCCGTAGGAAGCTCTTTTAGTTTTGGGGGGCGAAAGCGAGGGCCGAAGGCCCGAGGAAATTTTTAAATTTAGAGTCTCTGAAATGCCATTTCCTGGACTTTGGGGGAAGATTTGACAGATTTCTGATTGTCAGAAAACAGCGTTTTTAGTATGCGGAAATTTAGAAAAGTATGGGTAATATCTTCATTCTTTGCAGTTTGTCATGGATTAAATAATAAAGGTCTGCATGATTTTGAAAAATGAATGATTATTAGCAAATTATTGGGGGGCTGCAGCCCCCCAGCCTCCCCCCCCCCTCCTTGGTTGCTACGGCCCTGGAGAGGGTCTGGGGTTTTCTCCTCCAGAAAATTTTTGTGTTTTTCTACCCCTATGACTGCATTTCCCTGCATTTTCTGAAACAGATTTTTGAATATACAGCATTACACTATGCTGTAGATAGACTGAACCTTCAGTTAAGTACTTGCATAGTATGTTTATGTAGATACCACAACTTGGCCGTCACTTAGGGAGCCAGCCAGCTTGATAAACTTAGAGTTCCCGACTCCCACGAAGCGCCACCATGGTTGGCACAGAGCGGAAAAATTTTGAAAATTTTGCGTCTCTAAATCATCGGAAATGGCATTTTCAAAGTCTTCTATACGTCTTTTGTTTGGCCCTTTCATTAATTCGTTCATTATGATTTGTGAGTCGACTCTATGATATCCGCAAGTCAGGATGGATTATTACGAGAAATGTTATCAAAATATCGATTACAGATATTTGATTATATGTATATATGATTTCAAATACTTCTAGTTTCGAAATCAAATTGTTTTTTTTTGGTGGGGGCCAAAATTATCCCCCCCCTTATAAAACACTTGGTTGAGGGCCTGTTGCCCCCTGCGGTCACTAACTTGTCCAACAACTCAAACTCTATAGGGTCTGGGAAATGCAATGCACTGCCTGGGAAATGTTTAGAATCTAATAAGGTATTTATTAAACATAAAAGTTTACTAGAATATCAAACCTCCCTTCTAAATTCCATGTTTTGCTTATATTTTAGAGAAAAGGGACTTTGACTGGGGGGGCCAAAATGGTTGAGTGGGGGGCCACCATGGGGGCTGGGGGGGCTTTGGCCCCCCCAGTTATATAGTTAAAAAATGCCCTGCCTGTAAAACATGGAACGGGGAATCCCGGAATGAATGGGGAATGGAATGTCCCGGAATTGTAAAAGCCGGAATCTGTAAAACCCGGAATTGTAAAACATGGAATCTGTAAAACATGAAATCTGTAAAACATGGAATCTGTAAAACATGGAATCTGTAAAACATGGAATCTGTAAAACATGGAATCTGTAAAACATGGAATCTGTAAAAGCTGGAATCTGTAAAACATGGAATATTAATTTAATTATATGTCAAGTTTTGGCGGGATTTTCGGTCTCCTCGTGTCAGAGCCTCCAACAAACAAGTTAAAGCAGTAAACAACCTCAAGAAATCGGATTTTGTGCAAGGGCCAAGGCTGATATTCTATTTAATATTCTGGAGGAAACACAGTGAAAGGTTAGTTTTTATATAGCTAGTTTTTATAGTGAATACTATTTATCAATACTGTTGATTTGAAGCTCGATTTTGATATACGGTGAAACGAGGACGCAAAATCAATGGACAATAGCGGATTTTCAAGAAAATTATTATTTTCAAAATAGACCGTTTCAATTTTAATAAACTTTCGTTCTAACTGTGTCTTTAAATGTTTATAACTATATATTTTGAAAGCTTCAAACGCGTGTGTTTACATGCGCAGCAAGGCGGGATTTTGAAAATGTAATATATTTTTGATTTTCCGTGGCATAACAACTTTTTGTTGCGAACATTTTCTCGGCGCGAATTTTCTACTAACCTGAATATGAATCCCACTAAAATGTAGGCATTTTCACAAGCTTTCAAACCATCCGCGTTAGGGGTGTGTTTTGGACTTTGTCCAGTTTATTATATAGTTCATGTTAATTTATTATGGTAATAGACTTTTGTCCAGTAACATTGAAAATAGAGAGGTCAGAGGACAGAACGAACACAAAACGTTTTGGGAAACAGGGTTTTTCTGTAAAAACTGTTGAGTTGTACTAAATAAATATATGAAAACCTCATGGTTAATGAAAATTACACGCCGTCTATAACAAAGCTGGTCCTTCGTCGAGCCGGATAAGAAAGAAAATGCCAGAAGTAAGCGAAATTGACAAGTGTAGAGCGAAGAGAAAATTCGCGAAAGCTAGCGTGACAAGAAATATGAATCGTGTCAGAGAGCTGATCTCTAGCGATGGAAGTGTTTCGAAAGTCCGACAGTTTGCCAAAGGTGTAGAAAAAGGTCGTACGAAAGCCCGTGACCTTACGAAAGAACTGGAAGAGCTTAATCCAGCGTCAATTGAGACTGATGGTAGCTGGTTAGAAGAGGTAGAATTTGATGTCAACGAAGTCCTGGGAGAAGTTGCTGAATATTTATTAAAGTCTGAGAGCCCATCGCCAAACGAACAGTCTAGTATTACACCACCAACTGCTCAGAATAACGATGAAAATACTGAAACTGTGAACGATTCAATGTCTGGGAAAAGAACTGGTCTGAAAGGTGTTGAGATCCCATCATTCGATGGAAAACCAGATAAGTGGCCGTACTTTTGGGGAATATTTAGTTCTCTTGTCCATAAAAACGATAAACTAACGCCAGCAATCAAGCTAGCTCATCTGAATAGCTGTTTAACGGACAGAGTACGTGAAGTTATTGCATGCCTGACCGGGGAGCCTGGGGACTATGACA